GGGAAATATGAGGATTTTCCTAACAGCTGTGAAATTCTAATACTTCCCTAAATTATTTATAATACTTCTTAGAAAAAAATGCACCATTCATTTTATTTTTAACTCATGAATTTCAAAAGGAACTGTTTTCTCAACATCGAAAATGCCAGTTTCTGTAACTGCAATTTTAAAATTGACAAGTGAGGGCTTGGAAGAAAGATAAGTATTTTAGAATTATAAGACTGTTTTCTCTTTGAATGACATATATATTTCCACAATTTTACAAAACATAGATTGTCAAATGTAGTTATAAATAGGGTTTTTAAAAAATATGAATTGAAAAGTAGAATAAGAAATATTTTACAGAGCTAATTTTATGACTCCTTTTTTTCTTTAATGAAAGTATTTATCTGGGGAGAATGGAATGATAACGATCTGTAATTAAAAAAGAAATAAAAAGGAAATGCTTTGTTTCATCCTCCTTCCTTTAAAAAAGGGAGAGGTTTGCAATGACTGATTTTGGAGATATCTTCCCTACCTAAACTTCAGCAATGCTCTTGGATAATGGAGAGAACTCCCTTCTTATCCAGTAGGATAAGGATTCTTGGAGACTGAAAAATTTTGCAAACTTTTAATGCAAGGTATTTCTCCACCCATTTAAATGGATCATTTAGGATTTTTTAATTAGATGCTCTGCAAATAAGGAAATGAGGTAGTTAATTCCTGGAAACTTTGCCTTTGTAATTATGCATGAGCTTATTTTTGCTGTGCATATTACAAAGAGAAAATCTGTGCTTAGTTTGAAACATTCTACGATCTTTGAAAATATGAAATTTCACAATATTTCTCAAAGGAATAATAAATTCTCTCTGTTTTCTAAATCGGTGGCATGTACAAAGTCTAGAACTCCAGGACAGTTTCCCAGGCTGCCAGCGCTAATTTTTCTTATGTAAATGATAAATGCTAGGTGACGAGATGAACTGAATTTAACATTTGGCAAAATTCCTGAGTAGAAAAAAGTAATTTTGCTTGTCAAAAAAACAGGACAATGATATCAGAACACGAACAAATGAATAGAAAACCTCAAACTAACCTTTTGGCATCTTGAGGCAAAAGAGTTGGATGGAACTGCTCTCCATGCCTTTCTTGTTTTCTAACGTTATAAAGCGAAGCTGAATGAAGTAAAAGCCTATTTGTGGTTTGCTTTATTGTTTCCTGGGAATCTACTGTGTTGAAATATATGTGTCCACATTATTTTTCTATGTCTCTTTTATGTATATTCAGCTTTGTAATTGGCCATTTAGCTCTTTTCTGGGTATATCTGCTTCCATGGATATAAATAAAACAAAATGCCATTTTTAATATGAAACTTTAATTTCATATTAAGATACATTGTTATGGCCATGTGTGTGAATAATTAGCTTTGTATATATGGTATAAAATATGAACAAAGTTTTCTCTTGGCTTTTATGATAGTCTTTTTAGTTTGTGACCTTTGAGTTTGCTCTAAACAATTATACTCTATGAAGAAGACACATTGCTAGCAATACAAGTGTCTTCAAATGAAAATAATTTAATTTTTAATCATGAATTCCATTTCTCATAATAGACTGGCTGTGGTAATCACTTTAATTTTGAGAAAATATAACCAAGTGAAAGAAAAAAAGTTAAAAAAGGAAAACTGTAACTAAAGAAATCCCAAGAGTATTTTTTATGTTACATACCATCTAAAGAAAATCAATGTTACGTTAAGTGGTGTTAAATCTTTTAAGCTTCTGGAAAATACTTTACTTGTCTATTTAATTAACTATAAATTCAATAAAACAAAATCTCTGGAGAGTTGGTTACCACAAAGATTGAAAAGATGAATGTTCTAACAGTGTGTTTTGGCGTTCCATTTGCTTTGCAGTGATACATTGAAGTAATACTTTATCAATTTTAATACCTTAGTATTATCAATACTTTTATTTAAAATAACATGGCTCTACTTTTAGGGTGTAGTGCCTATCTTTGTGTAACTTATGGCATAGTGTTCTTGGATCATCCTGGCTGTCCCTGGCCTTTGGTAATATCAATGGGGTTGCTAATGTAAGTGGTGCCAATTATTATTGCCTCATGCCATCTGTTTAGCCACTACAGCAATATGTTGATAATACAATATGACACAAGGTGAGAATAGATGAATATGAAAGTGAGTGTAGGAACACTGACATGATATATTTAAGTATTTTATAAAGGAAAACGTTTTAAATTATTACAATACATATTTCAAGTTATTGTTTGACTCAACTTTTTTTCCGTGAAATGAGTCACAACAGTATCTGGGCCTGATTACATTAGGAAATTTCCTCAGAACAAGCTCAATTTTGACTTTGTGGGAAAATGGATATAAGTATAAAACTTTTTTGGTGATTTTTTTTCTTACCAGATTTTCTCTCACAACATTTTTTGCAACATCAGTAGCTGTGTAAAAAATCTGGGAGGGTTAAGAGCAGTCTTCATATCTTCCCTTCTCAGGTCAGGATTTCCATGAGGAGAGCCTTTCATAGGAAGAACCCTTTGTTCCACTCAGCCAAGTAGAATAGTTTTAGGCCTTCAGTAGCTTGCAATTTGTATAAACTGCCCAAAACTTAGTGCCTGCCATATTGGATTCCTTTTACATGGCAATAGCAGCATCTAGAGGCAATCAGGGTGAACAGATGTTTTCATCAAGAACTAGACGGATGTGAATATGACAGGTGTAATTTTGGGGAAGAAAACAAAAGCACTGTGCATGAAGGCAATTAAAAAGCAATCCAGATTCACCTAATTGAGGTGCCTATGGAAACATCATCTGAAGCAGAATGTCAGCCTTCATGCCCTAATGCTCATCTTCACTTTGGAGTCTTAAGACCCCACTCTTTACTCCCTAATTTTGCATCACACACCACTGTGCACATTCATTTGTGGTATGAACCATGAGCTGCTTAAATTCAGGGTCTATGACATGCAGATTTGTATCCAACCCCCTACCCTGCTCCCAGCCTGCTCCACATACAATGCATATGAAATTATAGGATGAATGAATGAATGAAAGGAGGGGGCAGAAAACTAAACCATAGCGCCATATGTACCCTGGTGGAGTAAATCTTGAATATGAACCCCCATGGAGTCACCTCATACTCACTCCAGTTTCTTCCTTAGTGGGTATTTTTGCTTCCTTAAATTGTCTTCTTTGAGATATTTAGGACCATAGTTCAATTCTGGCTTATCCTTAGCAACTTCTTTTTTAATGCCTTCTTTTATGCCATGGAATTCTGAGACTGCTTTGTCTCCTTAATATGTTTAGCAATAATCACTAGTTATTGATAATTGTTTGCTTGATGTATAAGTTTTTATTGCTATCATAACAAATTACCACAAACTTAAGTGCTTAAGACAATACAAACGTATGATTCTATAGTATTGTAGGTCACATCCATTACAGGTCCCATTGGACTATAATCAGGGTGCCAGCAGGGCTCTGTTCCTTTTGTAGTCACTCAGGGATATTGTTTCTTTTGTTCATTGGGTGTTGACAGTTTAATTCCATGCTGTTACAGGACTGAGGGCCCAGTTTCCTTGCTGTTTGTCAAGTGGGGCTGCCCTAAGGTCCTAGAGACCTCTCTCCGGACCTTGCACATTGTCTCCTACATCTCAGGACCAGGCAGCATTTCCTTCTCATGTTACCATCTTTCTGACTGTCATTATTGCACCTCTCTCTCACTATAGCCAGGCAAGGTTCTTGGGTTTGAAGGGCGCAGTCACTCATACGATTTGTGGGGCTCTTTGGGAAATCCAGCATAATCTTGGAGTTGGCAATTGAACTCAACATGGATAACCTGAATCACATCTGCAAAATCTCTTTTGCCATGGGAGGTACCATGTCTGAAAGGATTATGGTGTGGAAGTCTTTGGGGCACATTATTTTTGCCTCCTACACCTGGAATATGTTAAGTGCTTTGTATACATTACTGAAGTTATCCTCATTTTGCTAGAAGAAATCAAATCTTAGAAAAGTTGGGAAAACTGGCTACATTGCTACAAAATGACAGTGTCAGGATTTAAATCCAAGTCGGCTTGATTCTGCAGCCACCTTACTATTAATGCCTACACCGCCACGTGCTATGTGTATATCCTAATATGTGCAACACACACACACACACACACACACACACACTCACTCACACTCACTGAACATATTATAAACTGTAACTTGAAAAGCCATGTGGGACAAAGTAAAAAGTATACTTCGCACCATTCCTTCTGCTGATCTTTGGACAAGTCAGCTTCGTATCTTAGTGAGTAATACAGGATAGTGGGAAATTTGGCATATTCTACATTAATGACAAGGCTGCAGGAGTGGAAAGTATTTTTGTGGAAATTTATTAGTTTTCTATGACTTCAGTTCCAAAGGTAATTATTTCACAGGTCAGCCATAAAGCTCTGCCTTGATTGGAGGCCACTGATGGGTATAAAGGAATTATACTACTTTAATTTCTAAAATATTATCTCACAAAGTAATATGTTTATATTTTACTATGCTTATAACTCTGATATAATTTTTAGATTAATAATTCACTTTCTGGGTTGTAGTCTAAACAGAGGATAATATGTGATCACTTGGGACATTCCGTATTGTTTATCATACTATTCATTTACAGCTGCCCAGACACCTGTAAATATGCATATATTTGCTTTAGCCCACAACTGTGTTTCTTTTATCTGCATCAGGATTCTTTTTACATCCCACTTGTTTATCGTTTCTTAATATATATTAACTATTAATAGTCACAGATGTTTTTCTTAATTATACTACTTCAGTTTCAAGTTCTCTGTGGTTCTTGCCTTAAAGATATCATCGTGCACCAATGGAAGGACGTGCTGGGTGAATGTTTGCTCAGCCAATTTGTCCAGTAAGCTCAGATTTGAGCCTTGCTTTTTTGAAGTCAGTTGCCAATATGGAAGCATTATTTTTTCATCCCACTTCCTCTTTGTTGCAGAACCTCGATGCCCTGCACGACCACCTTGCTACTATCTACCCAGGTATGCGCGCACCTTCCTTTAGATGCACTGATGCAGAAAAGGGCAAAGGCCTCATTCTGCACTACTATTCGGAGAGAGAAGGACTTCAGGATATTGTCATTGGAATCATCAAAACGGTAGCTCAACAAATACATGGCACTGAAATAGATATGAAGGTAATGATCAGTGATGGACACACTTCTGAATTCAGATGACATGTTGAACATGAAGAAGATACTCTGTACATTTGCCTTTAGTTTTATCTCTGATAGTGGACCTCATGAGAAGCATATATAAGCCATAACAGTGACAACACTAGCAGTCTTCTATATTTGGCCTTGGAATGCATTATGAAGGGTATTTTTTCCTTGTGGCAGCAGATTTTTCTAATTATATGTTGCTTAAGGCAACATGAAATTTAGTTTGCATTCCCTGTGAACATGCACCAGCTGGGAAGCAGGAGGATGTGTGACTGGCTAAGCTGTGGCCTTAGAAAAAACCTATGGTAACATGAAATTAGATATTGCTTCACTGATCATTTTTTTCCTTGTAGACTTTTTTGTCTTTTCTTGAAATACAGTTGGAATGTCTCACTTTGTGAACTTAAAGTTTTATTCTTTTTTTAAAAAATAGATTACTTGATAAAAGAAGCCAGGTCTTATAATTGGAAAATTGTGTTGCTATTGATGATACACGCTCTTAGTTTTGAGTGATAATATCAGGGTACTGATACAGTAGCTGTAAAATAAAGAGAACCAGTGTTTTTCTGTATTTCTGACCCATATCGTCTCCCAGCCAGCCGCTTTCTGTGAGCTTGGCATGTTTAGCCTCAAGATCTGTTTTTCAGTGGCCCAAAATTTGAGAAAAGTAGGAAGAAATTCTCTGTTTCAGTGTTCTTTCTTTATGGGTGCATCTTAGATATCAGAGTTCCATTCTAACACGTGTGAGCAGCCCAAACTTTAAGTATGGTGTTGTTTTATATACTTGCCAATTTATGGAAATAAAATGGCAATGCATGTATGTCATTTTAAATGTGTATGTCTATCATTTCATTTCCCTCTGTTTGTAAATGTCATTTTTTAAATCATATTAAATAGTGCCACTTTGTCTAATTTGTAGGTCATTCACTGTACCTGGTGAGGGGCTGAGGCCACCAAGACAGGAGGGTGCTTTTCTCCCATTTCCACCAAAGAGCCTGAATTGGCTAATAGAGGACAGATACCAGATTTTCAATTTTACTGTGAATAATTATTCAGCCTTCCAATTTCATAAATCAGTGTCTAGAAATAGTTTTCTATTTTAGACATGTAGAATATTTACATAAATTCATTTTTTTAAAATTAACTCTCTAAATGCAGTTCCCATAACCAGTTTCTTAGGTATTTAAGTATTTTAACTAAATTGAAATGCAGACAGTTAACACCATTTCCCGCCTTTCCTATCCAGGTTATTCAACAAAGAAACGAAGAATGTGATCATACTCAATTTTTAATTGAAGAAAAAGAGTCAAAAGAAGAGGATTTTTATGAAGATCTTGACAGATTTGAAGAAAATGGTACCCAGGAGTCACGCATCAGTCCATATACTTTCTGCAAAGCTTTTCCTTTTCACATAATATTTGACCGGCACCTGGTGGTCACACAGTGTGGCAATGCCATATACCGAGTGCTTCCCCAGGTAAAATGACATCACACTTTTTGGGGGCCTGAGACAAAGAGCCATATAGATGCTGTTGTTACCTGTGGCCACTCATTCACTCAATCCTTTGACTATATTTCAGGTAATGTGCAGCACATATATCACATGAGTCGTTTAAATAGGAGCTAAATTTAGGCACACTGTCCCTAGGACAGCTATTCATTGTTTTCTATTTTAATCACAGGGCAGTGGGAAATTTATGGGGAAATTATAAACTTGTTTTAATGAGAAAATGGGTATCTTTCTAATAAAAATCATCTTTCATTTATTCATTCATTGAATTAATATTCACTGTATATCTACTATCTGAAAACAGCTTTCAAAATCAGTCATTGATATTTTCAGGGAGAAGAAGGGAATTTTAAAGAAACATTAAAAGAAAAAATGATAGAGATTATCATGGGTTTCATAGGAAAGGCATCAGAGGGGTGATGCTGAGAACCTACATTTGACTTGCATTATTCAGAACCAGTTGTTAAATCCTTTCTACTTACTCTTATCTCTCATCTAGTAACTTTGGAGTTGGACATGGCATGTGTCTAGAGGTATTTTTTCCTTATAGTTAAAGAGATTTAAAAATCTAGGATTAGCCCAAATGGGATCTTTCATAAACCTGGAAATATGGAAGTAGGAAAATGTACAGCCCAGGCTCTCTTGCTAGCTCTGCTCTCCCTCATAAGACCTTAAGTGTGTTGCTTGCCTCTCCGTGCCTCTTCCCATCATTATAGAAGACAGAGATCTAATGAAGAACATTTAGTCCAATGCTTGGTCCATTGTAAGCAATCAATACTTGCTTATTTTTATTACTGGCCACCTCTTCATAAATTGTGTTTGCTGGTGGTTGTGATATTCAAATGTCATTATAAGCTATAGGCATTCGATAAATTTGCATTCTTTAAAAATGCTTCTCTTATTTATATGAGCATATATCAGAATCCATATTAGGTCTTATGTTTATGCAATTTGCTTGATGCCCATTTAACCATTCAGTTGACTTGGTTAAGACAGAGTATATAGTTAAGGCAACTTTCTTACAAAATAATTACGATTTTCTATTTTTAAATATTATTGAGTTGTTTTACCTAATATTGATTCATAAAAATTATTTTGACTAATGAAGCATTCTTTTCATCTGCACGTTAGCTCCAGCCTGGGAATTGCAGCCTTTTGTCTGTCTTCTCTCTGGTTCGTCCTCATATTGACATTAGTTTCCATGGGATCCTTTCACACATCAATACGGTTTTTGTATTGAGAAGCAAGGTAATCAAGATATTATTTCATTAAGTGTGAGCAAGTAAGGCATGTTATAAATGAGAAGTGTTCTGGAGGAAAAAAACAGCTATTATAACACCTATGATATGAAGAAGGTGTAGAGAGGTCTGAATGAAACCTCAAAGGGAGTCCTATTTCAAAGACAATATTACTGATTTTCAGCCCTCTTACCAGCCAATCAGAAGTAAATTTTGAGAACACTTTGTGGGACAGCCTAGTTTCACATAATAAAACCCACATGTTTTACTCCCCATACATCTATAATGTTCCATTTTAGAAATCAGAAGAACTGATAAGGACTTTATTAAAATTTTACCCCAAGCCACTGATTTATTCTTCCTTAAATTGTCTGTTATTCTTGGTGCCATTTTTATGGGAAAATAAAAGTGATAAAACATTCATTCAGTTGATAATTTAGGTAGTACCCAGATCTTCTGGTTTCTGTTCCTGGGATTGATCAAGCAGAAGGATCCTAGAGTATACCTTTCATCCTTCCTCCTGCCCTCCCAACGGTCTCACCTACCCACACTTGACATATTTGGAGATAACCACTTCCAGTGTCTCTGTATGTGCAGGCGTGGGCAGTGAATGGAGAGGCGTGGGCAGTGGAGAGGCTTGACTTATTCACTGCAAGAGCCTGGTGTTAATATGCTGTGGTCTTACTGGGACATCCAGAAATAAGGTTCACAGAAGCTTTGAATAAATATGTGAACAGTGGCACAGCTACTGTCTTTTTGGGTTCAAAGGAAATAGTCAGTTCACTTTACTGCAGTATTTAAGGTAGCCACTTTTGTTATTACCTGGCAGAACTCTGGTGAGATGCCCTCCTCTTCTAACTGATGCCCTGTTCTCCCTTATGGTGGTGGGAAATGAGGTGTGTGTGTCCTTCTTTTTGCTTAATTCTTAGGCAGGGAGAGAGGCACTGTTAATGGTTATGTCTTGCCTTTTCAAGGAAGGATTGTTGGATGTAGAGAAATTGGAATGTGAAGATGAACTGACTGGGACTGAGATCAGCTGCTTACGTCTCAAGGGTCAGATGATCTACTTACCTGAAGCAGATAGCATACTTTTTCTGTGTTCACCAAGGTAATGATTTTTAGATTAATTATAATGGCTATAAGTACCCATCTTTAGCTAACAAAGGAATTTAATAACACTTTGTTCAATTATGCCTACCTATTCTGAAGTGTAATTAGATTTTATAACCCTTGGTATACACTTCTCTGTAACAAGGATCATTTAATCTACCATTTATAATAAACTCAAAAGAAATCATGTATTCTGTTTTAGTTGCCATGTCTTAATCAATTTGCTAAATGTTTATGCTGTTTGAACCCGGGACACGTAATCTCCTAAGAGCTAATTCTATAGCTTTGTGTCTTCCAAAGAGGTGTCATGTAGAAAAGAAATTCTGTAAAGCATTTAATATGGTGGAGTAAATACATGGGCATATTCGGCACTAAGAAATTACTTTTCCAGTTCTTTCTGGATTTGAACTGTTTTATATTGAAAATACTTAGCTACTTTAATTGGGATACACTGTTCAAAATATACTATTAAATTGAAATTTATGTAAATCATTCTATCTGTAATAAACATCAGAGGGAAGTAAAACTGTAGTTTGGTGTTTTCCTAATTTGACAAAGTATTTAACTAAAAGATGGATGACAATGGAGAATAAGAAAAATACATCTAAGTTTACTCTAGAGCAGGAGAAAAAAGATAATTGTGGAACTTGTTTTATGTGATAGTTTGTGTATTTACAACTTTCTATAACCAAAATTTATGCATATTACTCAGTAACACTCTCAAGAAAGCATCGTTTGGTGAGCTTATTGTCTAAAAATTTGAAGTCTGCCATGATTACTTTTACTTTAAAGATACTGCTTTAAAATATCTGAAAAATCTAATGAACTTTGTAACAACTTCTTTTAATAATAATACAGTGTTAAAGACTATATAACACTAGTGATCATATTTTTCCTGAGAATATATATCATGAAAATAAGAGACAAAATCTTGGGCATATAAACTCTATGTTTTTTTTATTAATAACCTATATCATTCTAACTGTATCTTCATCATTTGCTGCCCATAAGTTCTCCTTTTTTTCTTTCTCTTTCCAAGTTGAGCTTCAATAGAATGACAGCTTCTCACATTTCTGCCTTTGGAAATAAAGGTTTCTTTGGAAACAGAAACAGAAGATTTGAAATCTGTTGTTAATAATCATATACAAAAATTGGTCATGTGGTGACACATTCACAGATTGTCATGTGGTACCTGTCCCATGAGTGTAGAAAGATTTTTGCAAACATTAAATGAAAGGGGAGAAGGCAACTTTCTTACAAAATAATTACGATTTTCTATTTTTAAATATTATTGAGTTGTTTTACCTAATATTGATTCATAAAAATTATTTTGACTAATGAAGCATTCTTTTCATCTGCACGTTAGCTCCAGCCTGGGAATTGCAGCCTTTTGTCTGTCTTCTCTCTGGTTCGTCCTCATATTGACATTAGTTTCCATGGGATCCTTTCACACATCAATACGGTTTTTGTATTGAGAAGCAAGGTAATCAAGATATTATTTCATTAAGTGTGAGCAAGTAAGGCATGTTATAAATGAGAAGTGTTCTGGAGGAAAAAAACAGCTATTATAACACCTATGATATGAAGAAGGTGTAGAGAGGTCTGAATGAAACCTCAAAGGGAGTCCTATTTCAAAGACAATATTACTGATTTTCAGCCCTCTTACCAGCCAATCAGAAGTAAATTTTGAGAACACTTTGTGGGACAGCCTAGTTTCACATAATAAAACCCACATGTTTTACTCCCCATACATCTATAATGTTCCATTTTAGAAATCAGAAGAACTGATAAGGACTTTATTAAAATTTTACCCCAAGCCACTGATTTATTCTTCCTTAAATTGTCTGTTATTCTTGGTGCCATTTTTATGGGAAAATAAAAGTGATAAAACATTCATTCAGTTGATAATTTAGGTAGTACCCAGATCTTCTGGTTTCTGTTCCTGGGATTGATCAAGCAGAAGGATCCTAGAGTATACCTTTCATCCTTCCTCCTGCCCTCCCAACGGTCTCACCTACCCACACTTGACATATTTGGAGATAACCACTTCCAGTGTCTCTGTATGTGCAGGCGTGGGCAGTGAATGGAGAGGCGTGGGCAGTGGAGAGGCTTGACTTATTCACTGCAAGAGCCTGGTGTTAATATGCTGTGGTCTTACTGGGACATCCAGAAATAAGGTTCACAGAAGCTTTGAATAAATATGTGAACAGTGGCACAGCTACTGTCTTTTTGGGTTCAAAGGAAATAGTCAGTTCACTTTACTGCAGTATTTAAGGTAGCCACTTTTGTTATTACCTGGCAGAACTCTGGTGAGATGCCCTCCTCTTCTAACTGATGCCCTGTTCTCCCTTATGGTGGTGGGAAATGAGGTGTGTGTGTCCTTCTTTTTGCTTAATTATTAGGCAGGGAGAGAGGCACTGTTAATGGTTATGTCTTGCCTTTTCAAGGAAGGATTGTTGGATGTAGAGAAATTGGAATGTGAGGATGAACTGACTGGGACTGAGATCAGCTGCTTACGTCTCAAGGGTCAGATGATCTACTTACCTGAAGCAGATAGCATACTTTTTCTGTGTTCACCAAGGTAATGATTTTTAGATTAATTATAATGGCTATAAGTACCCATCTTTAGCTAACAAAGGAATTTAATAACACTTTGTTCAATTATACCTACCTATTCTGAAGTGTAATTAGATTTTATAACCCTTGGTATACACTTCTCTGTAACAAGGATCATTTAATCTACCATTTATAATAAACTCAAAAGAAATCATGTATTCTGTTTTAGTTGCCATGTCTTAATCAATTTGCTAAATGTTTATGCTGTTTGAATCCGGGACACGTAATCTCCTAAGAGCTAATTCTATAGCTTTGTGTCTTCCAAAGAGGTGTCATGTAGAAAAGAAATTCTGTAAAGCATTTAATATGGTGGAGTAAATACATGGGCATATTCGGCACTAAGAAATTACTTTTCCAGTTCTTTCTGGATTTGAACTGTTTTATATTGAAAATACTTAGCTACTTTAATTGGGATACACTGTTCAAAATATACTATTAAATTGAAATTTATGTAAATCATTCTATCTGTAATAAACATCAGAGGGAAGTAAAACTGTAGTTTGGTGTTTTCCTAATTTGACAAAGTATTTAACTAAAAGATGGATGACAATGGAGAATAAGAAAAATACATCTAAGTTTACTCTAGAGCAGGAGAAAAAAGATAATTGTGGAACTTGTTTTATGTGATAGTTTGTGTATTTACAACTTTCTATAACCAAAATTTATGCATATTACTCAGTAACACTCTCAAGAAAGCATCGTTTGGTGAGCTTATTGTCTAAAAATTTGAAGTCTGCCATGATTACTTTTACTTTAAAGATACTGCTTTAAAATATCTGAAAAATCTAATGAACTTTGTAACAACTTCTTTTTATAATAATACAGTGTTAAAGACTACATAACACTAGTGATCATATTTTTCCTGAGAATATATATCATGAAAATAAGAGACAAAATCTTGGGCATATAAACTCTATGTTTTTTTATTAATAACCTATATCATTCTAACTGTATCTTCATCATTTGCTGTCCATAAGTTCTCCTTTTTTTCTTTCTCTTTCCAAGTTGAGCTTCAATAGAATGACAGCTTCTCACATTTCTGCCTTTGGAAATAAAGGTTTCTTTGGAAACAGAAACAGAAGATTTGAAATCTGTTGTTAATAATCATATACAAAAATTGGTCATGTGGTGACACATTCACAGATTGTCATGTGGTACCTGTCCCATGAGTGTAGAAAGATTTTTGCAAACATTAAATGAAAGGGGAGATTAAAATTAAAAGAAGTTTTACTTGTAAAATAAATAATTCCAAGATGATTAGGTTTAAATATAGAAAAAAATTTATAGTTCATGAAAATCATAAATTTTTAGGAAAATGAGACTTATAATTTAAGTTTTTTTTAACTCTTATGAGCATTTTTAACCATTTTTATTGAGAGCTTATAATCTTTTTTTCCTCTGGCTCGTTGGCATGTCTTGTATAACAGAGGAGGGCCTCGTTCAGATAGGTTTGTTCCTCAAGTGAGCTTTAACTTACAGATCTGTCTCAACAAAATGTAAAGAGACCATGTGCTTCATCAGTAAACTCTCTGATCACTTTATTTTTCTATATTGGCATGCTAATTTTTTGCTTTGATTTATGGACATTTCTGCTGAGAATGTATTACAGAGAGATTGTTTTATTAATCCAGAATTTTTCAGTAAAATCAGAACTCAATTATGTCATCTTAGAGAAGTTATTATTGTGCATGCCCAGCAGTAATTACTTTTCATTTAGAGAATTCAAACCAATAATATAACATGAAGACGTTTTAACCAAAGAATAAATTTTTAGAAAGCAGCCAACTTGTCACATACCAGATCTTCACTGGACCAATTAAACAATGTTTCAAGTAAATGAGAAAAGTTAGTCCAAGAAATAAGAGTGATGGAAGAAATTAGAACCAGAATTAAGAATAGCACATAAAATGCATGTCAGAAAGTCATAAATACGTAAAATACATGTTGAAGATGGTTCATAAATCTGTTTGTAAACTTTCAATCATTGTATCTAAAAGGGAAAAGCAACCAGTTATAAAAGCAAAAAAATCCATAAGGCAAAAATGAGCTAGTTTCTCAAAAGAAGCACTATTATCCCTAGTCAAGAGAGTGAAGACAAATTTTTCTTCATCTCTTGCTAATGAGGGAAAATGTAATAACAATAAATAACAACCTTGCACTAAATACTGGAGCAGATTTCAAAGGGCAATTTCTGCAGTATCCTTCAATTTAGGCTGATGGCCTAAATTGTGCCATTTGCAAAAATGCATTTCCAGTTCACTGTTCTTTGACAGATTTTTAGGTATCTAAAAGTAAGAAATCCTGTTCTTCATGCAATACTCAAGTTTTTGTCTGTAGCCTGAGCGTTTTTAGGAGAGGGCAGGTGATCCTCCTCGAGGACACCAGTGCCGGTGTTGTCACGTGGACAAGGAGAGCCTGATGTCACTCATTTCTCTGCCTAACAGTGTGATGAACCTGGATGACCTGACAAGGAGAGGGCTGTATCTGAGTGACATCCCTCTGCACGATGCCACGCGGGATCTCGTTCTTTTGGGAGAACAATTCAGAGAGGAGTACAAACTGACCCAAGAACTGGAAATCCTCACAGACAGGCTGCAGCTCACCTTAAGAGCTCTGGAAGATGAAAAGAAAAAGACGGATACGTAAGAATGCTAACTCTGTGGTTAAGGAAAGGCAAGGGATACTGTGACTCTACTGTAGTTAGGATTGGGAACCAGGCTAAAAAGGCAGCAAACCTATTGCAGCCCTGAAGCAGTAAATAAAATCTTCCACATCATTTAAAAAGAAGTTCTGCACACAGAAATAAATCAGTCTTAATGGTAGTTGGGAATAGGCTTTCAATTTTTACAAACCAGCTTGAAAGAAAATATGCCAAGACATTTCTCTGACAACTGTTAGAATAATTCAAGTGTGTATTTAAACTCCAACCATCCGTTTATTCCTTCCTTCCTAGGAGAGATGCACTGAGCATCCTCTATGTGATGGGGGCTGGCCAGGGGCTGAGGGTCACACTCAGCTTAGAATTGGCCATTGCATTTTAAAAGATTTCTTTGTTTTGGACTCTGAATTATTTAGGGTTTGGCAAATAGGAATCTGACAGATTGTAATGTCATCTGTAATGATATGTGTTAACAAACATCAAAATGTAAAACTATTGTTTTTCTATGGATAGTGGATTAAATTATGAAATATTGAGGAAGTAACATTAAAGATAATACTTTGTTTTCATACTTGTTAAATTTGTTTAAACAAATTCACATCCTGTATACCACTTGGCCTGGCTTGCATATATTAATGAAAAGCACTAAATAAGTAACATTCATAAAAGATTTTACCCCAGGTCTTTTGTGTTCATTTGTAACGTTTATACAAACTATCTTGTTGGAGAATTGAATTGAATTTCCTTACTCCCCTAAGAATTATTTCACTACTTGAACACTCAGGACACTCGTAATAGCATCACTTTCTATACTTTTCTTGCACTGATACATGTGTAGTTGCCCAGGTGGATGCTGTGTCCACACAGAAACACATCTTGAATTATTTATTAATAGCATGGATAAAATCAACAATGCCATTTAAATGTCTGTGTTTATCCATAGCTTCTTAAGACAAGTGAAGGAGGAGATTCTTGGCCTTCATATAACATATAACGAAGCTGAAAGCTGTGTTTAGTTTCTTT